TCTTAGCCTATCCACCTGCGTTTTTTTACCTTTTTGTATTTTGGACGCGGCCACATCTTGATGCTGATCCTGTCCCTTTTTGCCCACTATGAGAGAGGTTATAATTAGGTTATCTAATATTTAGTGCAGTTTTATTGGGAGAACTTACATTTAAACACTTTGCCGCCCTTGACGCGTTTTCGTGCTAGCAAAGCGCGCATCATGGACTGCACCTTGATGACCTTCTTCACCTGCAGCTCATACGACCTGTAGACCATTTATATTAGTAAATTAGTTTAATGTAAAATATTTTATAGTTCACCTAGCCAAAAACTCATCATTGTAGTATCTCAAAAATACTTTGGTCTTGCCCAAGGACCAGCCTTCCATTTTGAGACGCAAAAATAAAAGACGACAATTATCCTTGGTCATTTCCACAGGCTCATCAAAGTCAAAGGCAAGGAATTGATATCTAATAAAAAATGGAGAAAAAATATCTATAACAATATACAAAATAATATCTAATAATATTTTCTGGAGGAATATAATTATTAGAGTATAGTTTTAAGCATTTTTTATTATCGCCCAGAAAAAATTATATTCCTCCTTAAAATATCTTTATAAATTTAATTAAATTATAATTTTAATATATTTTTTCATTAATTAAGAAAATTCTGTTACCCACCGTCTCAGGAACTCCTCGAAGGGCAGGCGTGAGCTGAAGCCTTTTTGCCGGGCGACGACAGTGTCTAAGACTCCCAAGGCCTTCATCTGTTGCTGGACGACATCCGAGTGGAAAGCTCTGGGCTTGTACTCCAGATCAGCGCGAATACAGCGGACAAAGTGCACGCCGAGATTCGAATTCTGGCTTAGCATTTTGAGCAGGGTCAGGCAGGTGAACCGGAAGTTAGCGGCCAGAGTTCTTAGATTATTCACCTGGGAGATGCAGCCGGCACTCAGAGTATTCAAAGCCTAAGGGGAATAATATTAAGTATTAAATTCCTATATTTAATATTTGTAGCAAACAAGATTGAAGTGATTGTTTTCTACTTTTTACGTTATTTTTAAGAAACCTTATTTAAATGGAAAACTCACGTAGGACTTCCGTTCGGTTTCGTCCTTATGCTGAACCGCCTCAAAGGGCATCGTGAGATTGCCAGCCTTGGTCAGTTGGTTGGTGAACATAAGCATGATGCTCTCATCCAGAGAGGAGCGGAAAGTCTCGATCATTTCTGGCGGTACGAAATCCCGGTTAATGTCGGTGAAGGCCCGCGTATCGTAAATGATGCGGCCCGTGTAATGAGCCACGGATATCTCGGTGGCAGTGTGCTTCTTCACAAACTGGCTGTGCTTCTCCGAAACACGATCTGCAAATTGATAATGATAATTAATCATACTGTCTAAAATGAGATATTCCAAAGAAGTGACAGAATTTTGTACCCATGATTAAATCCTGATCTTGGCATGAACGTGAGGCATCGTCAATGATGTAAAACAAGCCATCCGGTTTGGTTAGCAAATTATCCAGAGCGGTCTTGTTGTCATAGAAATTTAGGTTAATGGTATCAATATCCTCAGCCTCCATTTCCAGCATTTCGCTGATGAAAATGCGCTGGTTGTAATGATATTGCATCTGTTCGTTGAGAGTGTTGATCATCAGTTGCTCGAGACCATTGCGATTGAAGCACTCAAAGCCAAACATGTCGTGGATAATAATGGCATTGGTGTCACCACTAAAATGGGGTAATAATTGTGATATTTATATAAATTTATTACAAAATTGCAATTATTTTTAAAATCAATATTCTACGATACTTACAACACAGCCCGTGGGAAGGACATGTTCATGTTGATTCTGTTGATGATGAAGTCCACCAATCGGGAGTAGAGCGTGCTGGCCACCGCATCGCGGGCATCCCTAGCTTCTTCAGTAGTATACTGGCGCCTCTCGGCGATGCCACCCTTGACCATAATGAAATTGGTCAGGGACCACATGAATTTCTTCTCATCCACCCGCAGAAGCTCTGCAATCCGCGAGACGATGTCCGTGTTCTCCACTTCAGCGAACTTTCCATTCTGCCGGAAACGGATATTGCCAATATTCAAAATGGCCGACAGGACCTTACGAACGGTCTCCAATTGCTTGTGATTGAAGTCAATGTCCCTCAGAATATTCTCAAACTCCCTGTATTTCTCCACATTGCCCTCGGGATCATCGCGACGATACTTTAGCTTCGATGGCGGAACCTCTGGCGGAACTCGCAGATAGCGATAGTTTCGATCAGCCTTGAGATTGTACTCCTTGAGCTGATTCTGCTGATTGATAAAGTCGTAAAAGTAGTAGAAAATATGGAAGTTGTGCTGGGTGCCATCTGTGGTGGCCACACGTAACTTCTCCAGCATATACATATTGAATACGGCTCCGCTCATCTTGCCAGTTTTTCCGAAGGTCAAACAATACTGCAGAACACATCGGGTGGAGTCGTTGTTCACCGGAGTGCCTGCATTCACCAACATCAGGATGGCCTTAATGGAGCTCTCGACGCGCCCGGTGGCTCCTCGATTTCCATCGCCCAGGTAGCACAGGTGCTTGATCAGCAAACGGGCATTGGTGGACTTGCCCGAGTAGCTCTCTCCGGACAGCACAATGTGCTGTGGCTCCCGATGATGCAGCATGTCCTGGTAGGCGATATCGGCCACCGAGAAAATATGCGGCTGATTCTCCGATCGCGACTTGAAGCGATACTTGGCATGGAACTGATTAAAATATATATACAATTTAAGTAACTTGGGATAACCGAATTTATAATAGGGTTTCTTTACTTATTAGATTTTTTATATCAATCGTATATCTTATAATCAAATTTTTAACTCACCTCCGGTGGGAATTCCTCCTTAATCTCATTGGAATTCAGCGACAACAAGATATCGCCAATAAAACTGTACGATTCACCCGTCGAAATCCGGTGATGCAGTGACTCGATTATGCTCTCATCCACAGGATTTTCCAGAGCGGCCAAGTCCTCCGGATACATCCTCTCCGGCTTCTCATCGAACCTCTTGACATAGCCGCGGTCCACAAATAATTCCGGCTCCTTGTACAAACTTTTGACGTCCCTGGAGAGTTCCAGCATCTCCGAGATGTCCGAACGCATCTCGTCCTCGTTCTCAATGAGTTCCGTGAGAAATGGATGCTCCACCATCTCAACCATCATGGGTCGATTCTCGGCATTCTTCTCCAGACTCTCGGAGATGAAATCATTGATCTGCTGCGACCAGTTGGTGGGTCTCATTAAGGTCGGCGGCGGATTGCGAATAATCTGGAACATGGCCCTGGTGGGATGCATGTCAGCGAATGGGGGCTTTCCATCGGCCAACTCGATGGTGGTGATACCCAAAGCCCAGACATCAGCACGAACGGTGATATCCGGTTCCCGGGACTCCATGGCGGACACCACTTCGGGGGCCATCCAACAGGGCGAACCGATGCAGGTGCCCCGCTTTCCCATGGTGGAATCCACCTGACGGGACAAGCCAAAATCGCAGAGCTTCACGCGTCCATTCTTGGTCAGCAAGATGTTGTCGCCTCGTATGTCCCGATGCAGGACATGATTACGGTTCAATTCGATGGCCGCCCGACAAGTCTCTCGGATGATATAGGCGATGTGCTCCTCTCGCATCCGACGATCCAGTTTCAGGAGCTTATTCACCATATCCACAGCAGTTCCTCCAGCGCAGTACTAAAAAATTTTAAAATTTAAATTATATACATAAAAAAACGCAGTCCAACATTTATTTATTTTTACGCAGTTTCTATAAATTTTAACGGGAAACATAATATAATATTTGTTTTAGACCCCAAATATAGTATTTGTTTTAAATTTAAAAGATATTTTGTTTTAAAACCAAGTTACTTTAGCAATGAAAATTTATTTAAACAAAACTATTATTTTATCTTGCTTTTAACTTATTAAAAATAACAACATTTCCTGGACACGTCTTAAAATTATTAAGTTCTACTGTTTATTTTTTTAATAGTCCTGACTTACCTCCATGACGAACCAGATTTCATCGGGTCCGTTGGGCTTCGACAGCTTGTACACCCCATAGAACTCGGGCAGATTGGGATGGTCACAGTAGTCCCGCAGAGTGCGATACTCCTCCTCGATCGACACCTGGTGCTCCTCATCGTAGTGCTGAATCTTCAGGGCCACAATCCGATCATTGTCCAGCTCCTTGGCCCGAAAAACCTTGGCATTGACTCCCTGGGCTATCTCCTCGTAGATCTCGAATTTATCCGTGGGATCCGGCAATTGCGAGTACGGTAAATACATCCTGACTTAGTTGACTATCCTGAACGTTCGAAGAATATTCCTGCGATGGTTCAATTGGGTTAGGTTTGGCAGTTAAGGGCTACATAAAAGGGGTCGTTTCATTTTCTCGTTTCATATTTCTTTTGTGCAAATCGCATTATGCTTGGGTTCGTTTACATAACACTTAAGAAAGAGTATTGTAGGGGTTTCTTTTGATCTCTTGTTTTTAAAAGTGAAAACTATGTTATTTTGTAACCTTATTATTATAATTGTCTTACGGAAGAAATTTTTGTATTTGAACTGGGTTTTAATAAAATTTTGTACTCAGAACTTTTTATAAATTTGTGCAAATCCAAGTCATTTAAATTTAAAAATGAATAAATCAAATTCATTGACAAACCCAAAATACACATAGAATCCTTTAACAGGATATATTATATAACGTTTTAAATTGTTTTTTTCTGTTTTAACATTAATTGAAGTTTTAACTGCTTGTTTGAGATCCACTTCTTGTATCACTTAATCCTTCAGGACACACCTATTCCGTTTCAGAGTGGCACACTTTTCCTGCAGATGACTTTTCTTTAGGGAAATATTTATTTGATTTTCGAACCGACCGCACGCATGCAGCACGTACCGCTGCCGTAAGCCAACTAAATGATGGGCCAATGCAATCGACGGCTTTTCACTGGCAAGGAAGGAAGCCATTCAATGGGCAGTACCTGGGTGCACACCTTGGACAACTATTTAGCCGGCTAATTCAATTAGTGGCGGCGACATTCACGTGCAAGAGCAAAAAAGCAGAGACACAGGTGGCCAAAGCGCCAGGTGAAAGGGAAACTGCCAACGCGAGTGAAAGTCAGCTGATTGACAGACTAATTATGCATCTTATTATTCGTATTTACAAAATATATTTATATGTATTCCAAATGGATGGAGATTGCTAAACTAAGCATTGCATTTACACACGTTTATTGATGTTTGCCCTATTGCGCATGTTATGTTTTTCTTTAATACTGATTTTTGTGTGTGTCTTAAGAGTTTTTTTTAGATTGAAGAAAAGTCTTTTCTTATGCGTGTGGCTGAGGCTGCCGTTCCCGTTCCACGTCCACTTCCTTGTTATTTCCCTCAATTGCATATGCTAATCCATTCCTCCACGTGGCACTCCTCGCACTCCACATTACAGCACCATTGAAATTTACAGTGACACCGCTCCGCCCTCCGCTGGATGACTTGGCTGTGGCCACGCCCACAGCACAGGGAGGTGCATCCGTCGCTGGTCGTCGTGTTCCGGTTGCACTTCCGTCCCACGGTGCCTGTGGATAAATATGAGATCAATTAAAGCATTTAAATGCATTTAATTTGTTTATTTATTAAGTACAGAAAAATAACCGAAACAAAATAATTATATTCTATTTCAAAAAGGATTTTTACTGTTACTAAATTTATCCCGGTTTATCCTTAACTCTGAATTTTAGAATGTAGCGAATTTTAATCTCTACTCTAAAGGTATAAAATTATAAAAACAATTTGCAGTACACCAACATTTAAAGAACTTTTTATTATTTATTATCTGTTTTGAAATATTAAAAAAATATGGGAAAATTCAACTATTTTATTTTGAGCATAAAGCAAATTCTTAAATTTCGAATTTTGTAGAAATTTTAATTGCAATTCCAAGGGTGTAACATAAAAAATATTTAAAGTAAAACATTGTTTAAGGAACTTTTATTAGCTTATCTGTTACATTTTATGAGCTTTAATTCTGTATTGTAACACTATTTTACCAATTTCTTTTCCATTAAATACATAAACACCGCGATTAAATCACATTTAATTCCTCCCACTAGAGGACAAGCTATTAAAAGGCCATAAATAAACTGTTAAACTAAAGCATAAACAAAGTATCATAATTGTTTGGCCGACGATAATTGCCAACGTTAATTGCCATCATTTGCCTAGACACGACACCGGACACGGGCACATGAATCAAAACGCCCGATGGGCTGGTCCCCAGTTCACTGGAGCTCGGAGCATTCAGCTGGAGCTGGAGCTACCGGGCTAAGCCGACGATTAATTATAAATTTGCGTCGTAATTAACACTTTTAAACTGCTGACAGTCGCCGGCGCAGCAGCGGCTTTTGATAATTTGCAAATGTGTCAACAGCAAAATGGCTAACGAAAATTGCAAGTGGCAGTTAGACGTCGATTTTGTTGTGAACGTGCCGCAGCTCCGACCGATCCCCAAATGAGGGGAGAATCAAGAGGGGTATCAAGGGGCTAAAATTACACCCATGGAAATTTTCTTGGTGTGCATACCATATTGTGTTCGGAAAAATTTAAGTTTAAGTTTAATTAAAATTTTCTAAAGTTAATATCACAGTAAAAAAAACGTTGGTTAATAGGAACAAAATCGTCGTCACATTAATAAATCAAATTGTACTTACAAAATATAAATAATCAAACTTAAAACCCCCTCGATTTTTCTCCGCCCCTGCCTTATACAATTTAACTTAAGCTGATCCAATCCAATCCAATCCGATCCAAACTGAGCTAAGCTAAACTGAGCTGCTGTGCGCATGCGTCGTTGGCGCATTTTTTTCGTGAATTATGTGGCATGTTTGGTAGCCCGTTTAAAAAACATTTTTGGTTTTTTTGCATTTGCGGTTACTGTTGTTGTTCATTTGCATTTGTGATTTATTTATTAGAGGCAAATCAAATTTATCGCTCGAATCGTATCGGTAAATCATTTTTAATTAGTTGCAGCGAATTTCCTAGCGACAAAAAAAGTAGTAAATTTACTTGGGTAATGGATTCTTCTAATAAGAACTTGAAATGATAAGAGGCTTAAGTTGTAAGTAAAAATTTTAAGAATTTCCATATGTAGGAATATAATTTTAAATAATTTATGTTATTTTTTGAACTTTTAATATTCCTTTATGTTTCACTAATTCTAAAATGTTCAGGGCTATTTAATTTGTATTTCAAAAATTGTTTGTATTAATTTTTGATTTTAAATTTTAAACAAATTTTGTAAAAAGAATGAAGATAAAGAAACTAATTTTATTTGGGTTCCCAAATATTTCAAATAGCTATGAACACTCACCCTGTATATCAGCTCCCAAATCCCGCTCACAAAAGTTTGGCGAGCGCTGATAGTAAAACAACGAGGTCTCCAGTTTGCGGGCCATTCTTGCGGCATTCTTATCGGCGCTCGGTTGCCGCGTGCCCCGCTCCACTCCGAGATCGTCATGCCGCCGCGTCTCAGAATCACCAGTTCCGCCGCCATCGTGACTCCCAGATGCATCCGTGGTATCTAGATCGGATGACGAGGATCCCGAGCCACTGGCCCCATTCGATTTCTTATTGCGCGCTCTTTTCAAAACAACCACGGGCTCCCCGTTGCCCAGATTCGATTGATCCACGAGAATGGCCTTGCGAAACGAGTGCTTTAGAACCTTGCCCACGATGTGGAAGTCGGGGGCGGACTTCCAGCAGGTCTTCAGCTGGCAGCTGCCGGACATTCCATGGCACTTGCAGCGGAACTCCATGTTGTTGGAGACGGCCTAGAAAAGTGTAGCGTAGTGCAAAAATATATTATTTAAATCTAATCCAAACTTTTAAGGGCTTAAAATCGCCAATAAACTAATTTCAAAACTTGTACTTTTTATCTAAACCAAAAAGAACTAAAAAAAAATCTTAAAAATTAATTGATGAAGAAAATATTTTTTTTTTAATTTTATAAATATTAAAAGAGCATAATAAATAAATTGAACTACAAATTTATTTATGTTTAAGAATTCTAGGTTTTTTAATATTATTTTAAAATAATAAAATACTAGATTATGTTTTTGTTATATCATACAGTATTAATTTAACTCCTTTAAAATGTCATAAGTTTCACGTTGTATTAAAAAATATCTAAAGAATATAATTTATTTTTTAAATAATGATAAACTCACTATCCTGCCGGCGTGATTGTTGTGCAGATTGATCTTCGACTGGATGTCGCCGGCCTTCTCGCGGCAGTCGAGGAACAGCTTGGAGTACTCGACCCCGAAGTCCATGTTGTGGGAGCAGCCGCCCCACTTCCAGCGACTGGCGATCTTGGAGCGCTCGTACTTCTTCTCCTCCTCGGGCGTTAGAATCTGGTTCGTCTCCAAGTACTGGAGGAACTGCTTCTTCTCCTTGTCGAGCGACTGGCGCAGGTTCTTGTTGAGCGTTTTGCGGTTGATGGTCGGGTCGCAGCCGCAGGACATCAAACGACCTTGACTGCAGGCACGGGCCACACTGTGGGCCACCCCGGCGGCCGATATGGCAAAGGCGAACGCACTCTCCCGGTAGCCTAAAACGTAAAGAAATGCGATGAGTGGTGTATCTTTGGAATCGGTTTTAGGATCATCGAAATGGCCCCTGGGAATCATTGGCCACTACTGGCAATTTATGCGGTGTTATTTTTAACGCTGCATTCGAAGCAGTCGCCGCCCTGGGAATTCAGCGGCATTTCAGCTTTGACAACAGCTCAAAGCACTGAGACTGTGGCAAGACCATTTTTAATGATGCAGTCCACACCCACCCAAGGCTGGGATACACTCAAAAAAACACTGAACACCAATAGCTTACAGGTAACGAAATCATACAGAGAAAATACAACTTAAGACCTATATACTATTGGCCCAGAAAAGTATTAATAAATACATTTCAATCCGTCAAAAGTTCATAAATACGATAATGTTTTATATTCTTTAGATTTATTTTTATATTCGATGTACAGTATTTTTTGCACTATTATCATTACTTTTAAGAAAAGATTAAATATAGAATTTCACTGCTAAAATGTAGATTAATATTATCAAGATGGTATATCAACATCAATACCCAAGCCCAATTAAATTACATTAATTTTATGCTATTAAGATTGTGTCGAGTATAATATTCTGATTATAATTCTTCTGGTGACTGAAACCAAACTATCAAAATAATCCTTTGGCCTACAACTTGTGTCAGTGTAGTATTTGAAATGCCTTATGCAGCGCTGGCAGCTGTCAAATGGCTGTCAAAAATGCTGACGTTAATCATGGTCGACATGGCCGTGAGTGGCCCAAAGTTGGCAACATTTGTCAAACGATTGACATGCAAATGGTCAGCGCCACTTTGCATAAAAGCCAAACGCAGAGAGAGATCTCTGATCTCCGAATCGGCGACAATGCGAGTACATATGTCAGTGTGACAGCCTTGCATCATTCTGGGGTCGCGGATCCGAAGTCCGGACAGCCCGCTCCTTAGAGCCCCAGTCGCAGCCCCTGTCAAGCAATCAGTCAGTCAGTCAAGTTGGCCAGTCCGTCACTCAGGATGCGCACGAATGCAAATGTCAATGTTGTGACAAGTTGTCGTACAGATCGGGGGTTCCAGCGATCCAACCGGCGATCGATTGCACTGCAAGTGCAATGGAAAATTGTGTGTGTAGCGCGCATTTGATTGACGATTAAGACGCCATCAATCAAGGCATCAGCGAACAGTAGCCCCAGCCCACTCCGCATTCTCCACTCCCGCTTTTCACTGATCACTGATCGCTGATCGGTGATCGGCGATCGCGGACTTGATTTATGCACGCTTTGTTTGTCTGGCCGTCCCCTCTCGGGCCATTTGCAAATCCAAATCACATCATTGGCAACAGTTACATTTGACAATGCCTTGGGGTCTCTCGATCTACCGATCTACCGATCTCGCGATCTCTCACCGCCTTGCGCATAAATTGGCCACAAAGCCGAGATCGGGAGGCCGGCTGACTTGGCTTGGCGACCTGTCTCGATCTCCGCCAGAGTCTGGAGCTCCCGTCCCCTGTCTCCTGTCCCGCGTGTTGCAATCCCAAGTAATTGTTTGCGACATACGTCGCTCGCTTGTTGTCACAAGTCCAGGTCCAGAGAAGCCCAAGAGAAACACGAGAGAGAGAGAAAGAGAGGTCCTCGGATAAAGCTCGATCTTAAATCGCACACTAAAATATACATTTCTTAAGTGTATTAAAAGTTATAATACTGTCTGATGGATAAGAATCATTTTTAAATCTGAAATATTAGCAGATATTTTAAGAGATTATTGAATTCTGGTTGATGGTTAAAAAGAAATCTGAAATTATCTGTAAAACCATTTTGAATACTTTAGTTTTGAAAACTTTTTCATAATTTGCAAGCAATAAAGACCAAGTCAAAGATACTATTCTCTTAATATATCTTTAAAGGTTCCAATTTCAGGCAACTAGAAAAATATTAATGATTTTAATAAAACTTATTTGAAAAGTTTTTTTAATAATTTTTCTGTGTCATTAAATTAATAATTGGAACTTCTGTGAATTCAACATTAAATAATAAGTTACAAAAATTTAGAGCAAAAGCATTTTAATTTTTATGGACCTTAGATGAAATGTGACTACTGTGAATATTGTCGTTCATTTTTATCATTTATCCCCTTGACTTCCATTTCAATATTATATTTTTTAATTTTCAATATTCTATTAATTTTCTTAATAATATATATTAAAAGAAAAGACAATTTTTTATAAACCGCACAGAGGAATTTACAAATAATTTTGATAAGTAAAATGAAGCGAATAAAGCAATTTTTACTAACTGCGCCGATCTCTGTAGCTTCTTTTTAAGTGTAGGTAATCCTTTTACTACTCTTTAGCTGCAGCCTTTAGAAGGGGTCTCCTCCCCCTTCGGCCGCTCCAGTTGATTGACAATAATGCATGGTAGCAGCGGCAGCAGCCGTAGCAGCAACCCAATCCAAGATCAGCGATCTGCAACGACGACGTTGCGACGATCGACGATCGACGATCGACGATCGACGAGTTCCATAAGTTATAGTAGATGTATGCAAAATAGTTGACCTGTCCGTGCGCCGTTTCGATTGTCAGTCATTGTGCGACTCGGCGACCGGGCGACTTGATTTGTTTCGTTTCACTTGGTCGCCCCATCGTTGGCCCCCGATCTTGAGGTCCCATGTCCACCGTCCAATGTCCAATGTCCACCATCCACCGTCCATCGAATCGATCCCTGACTTTGTGGCTGCCTTTCTGCCCTTATAAGTCGTCTTCTCTGGCCGCGATCGTTGCACGCGTTGCTGTTGGCCTGTCAATATTGACTCTCGTTATGTGCAGTTCCTTCCTTATTTAATGGACGCACGAACGGACCGGGTTGACAAACGGACAGCGGACTGACCGACGGACGGACGATCCTCAGACATGTCAGTGACATAAGCTTGGGTTTACCATATTGGCTGAAGGCTAGTCGAGAGTTACTTGGAAGTGCTGCTGCTTTTGCTTTAGCTGCTGCTGCTGGTGTGGCATGCATTTGGAGATTTATGGTTCGGCATTGTCTTTTCGGCAATGTTGTTAACTTTAACCCGCCGGCTTGGCATTTGCCTCGATCCGCCCAAATGCCTCCGAGGGCAAATAATATGCACAGCGTTTGCTGTAATGGAATAATTTGCGAATGGTAGAGTGTCCAATTTCGTCACTATATTTAATTTCTGGTTTTGAATTTTAAACCACTTTATATTTCAGTTCTATGATCTAAGTTCGTGTTTTTAAAATATTTATATTTATTTAATAGGCGAGTAGTACTGTGTAAGAAAGAGGAACAAAAAAGCGCATTTGTTAATCCATAAAAAATCGAATAAAAAAAAAAATTCATTGCTTGATTATTTTATTTTAATCGAACGGGTTAACTATTTCGGCTCCACACATTTAGTCTGATTAGGAAACAAGAATGGTGATGATAATCACATCAGAGGAATGACAATGACAATGTTGCGACTCTGTCCGTGTCCACATCCAAGTCCGATTCCGATTCCAATACCACATCCCATATCCCATATCCATTCCCAGGACTGTCCTGTCCTGTCTTCTCCGCTCCAAAAAGCATTCGTTTGTCTCGGCTGCTCGTTGTCAGTGGATGCGGCAGCATCCGTCAACGGAGATAACAATTTTTTAAATTGAAATTGAATGAAGTGGTTTGCTTACAATATAATTTATACGATGAATGCAAATAAATTACGCCGTACGAAAGACGAGAACGAGATGAGACTGAGGCTGAAACTGAGGCCCCTGGCCTTTCCCTTTTAGCTTCTGTTTGTTGCCGTTGTTGTCGCCTGTCGCATTGAAATTTGTGAGAAATCTCCCGAACATCTCCGGCTATATATCGTTTGCATCTGGATTGCAGTGCCGCCATTTTGCCCATTTCCATTGTGTTTTTTCCTTGGACGCTGCTCCATGGCCATCCTTTCCCCCTTTTTTGGCATTTTTACAGCAATCGTATGATGCATAATTTAACTAATGAAGCATTCTGGTTAAACCACTGGACTTATTCCCATTGGACGGCTCAAGTGTTTGGCCAAATTAGTGGGTAATTGAGAACGGATTTATTTCTTTGAATTGCATTTACATTTTAATGAGTTTGATATTAAGTTCAAAACGTATGTAACGTAGAATGTAAGAAATAGTTTCTTTGCTTTAAACTTACATATTTAAAGGTAAACATAAATTGTAATTTATTAAAATATATATTTAATATTTAAAAGATCTTTTTTAGATTATTGTTTGTTTATTTATCCAACCTCTAAAATTTATTTCTTTCACAAACCATTCCCAATTACTTTCAGAGATTCGTGCCTTTTTGAATAAAAATAAAAGCCCTAGTGATAATAGCTTCCCATCCCCATTTGTATCATGACTCATAACAGTAGTCAACGGGAAAATAAGAAGCTTGCCAGTTTGCAGAAAAGCCGAGATCGGCGCCTGTGATCAGAGATACCGCTACTTGTTGGCCCGGCCAACAAAAGGGGCTTAGAATGCGGTTCCTCTTTGTTGCATTTAGATGGGCCAGGGAGAGTGTGTGATCTATCCGTCATAAGGCACACGCCGCGTGGGTTTCCAAACGGATCGGCGGATTGGGTAACACAATGCCCCCCGGACAGATTAAGATATCAAAGTCAAAGTTCGCATAGCCGCCGTTTTCGCGATGCGATGCACCGGACTGTGACAAAACGGTGGGTCCCAGTCCTCAGAACAAGGTCCACTCAACACTCTTAGTCGGCCACATAGAAATTTGATCTAGTCCGGGTGAAACGAGTACACAGGTAAAAAAATGTTATTATAATATTCGTGAAAATTCTTTTAAACAATTTACTTAGCTATAATGCAAAACTTAAACTTTGTCCTATTATTTAATAAAATATTTAATTATAAGTTTAAGGAGTATCTTTAGAGGCAATGTGAAATAATATTTGAAAAATACTTTTTCCGACCTCATTTGATACACTCAAAAAAAAATTTTAGAAAATCGCCTATGGATTTGCTTTACTGGCGATTTTTTTCTATATTTCTGGAATATTTCTTGAATTTAATGAATTTTGATTAATTGGAAGAAAATTTTCTTTACCAGTAGAAAATTTTTTTATTTTAAAGAAAAAAATCGCCAGTGAAGCAAATCCATAGGCGATTTTCTAAAATTCAGGGCGATTCATTTTCTGAGTGTAGGTTAAAAATGTATTCATATCATCATATTTAGTTTTAATTGCTTAAAAACGGATAAAAAAGATTTCTCTAAAAATGTACCTCTAAAATTGTTTCCTGTGTGGGAGCATTAGAAGCTGGGATTGTGTTGCTGCTGTGGCTTTTGTGTCATGTCGTGTCTAATAATGCGACGGTTAATAGCTTCGGACATTGTCTGCTTGACCAAACGTCTCCGCTATGGGCAATTTTAATTAGACTCTTTTCCTAGCGGTTTTCGTGTGGGCCGCCAATGTTTTCCTCCTCCCGATCCCCACCGCGCAACCCCTGGCTTTTCCGAACCGCAAAACTCGTTGACAGTTGGCGGACTTTAGTTGGCGACCCAAGCCGGTCATAAAGCGATTTTGTTTGCGTGAAAGCTGAGCCACGCTTACTGCACATTTTAGTGTCAGCTTAATGGCTTTGGGCCACGGCTACCTCTGCCAACCTGGCAACCTGAACCTGGGAAACTCTCGGCCAACTCACCTTTCTTCAGCAAACTGGAGGCATGCGGATTGCGGCTCTTTGTGCTCAGCGACGAACAGTTCCAGCGATGCCATTGAAACTGTTAGGGGAATGCAAGCAAAATAGGCGAATTTTAATGGTATTCAAATGCTAAGAAGATCATTTGGATATAGGGAAACTAGCTCCATTGCTCAGAGATTTTTTTACTTTCACTATTTTTTCGGAAATAATAATGTACAGATAAAAAAGTGTATTTACAAAAAAAAAACAGTTTCAAATTCAAAAATATTAAAAATTAAATAATCCATTATTTTATAAAGTAAGTTCTCTCAATGTAATCATGTTTAACCAAATGTTTCTTAATATATTTGATATAACGTGCTATTATTTTAATTGTTAGATTTTTGAAAGCTTAAAATCTTTTCATATAATTCCGGCAAATTTTTAAAATCAATTTTCCCACCTGTATTTGGCATTCACGAATGGCCATGTCGAGTCCTTCGAGAGCTGCTGCCGTCACATCACTGGCCTTGTAGCAGAGCTCCACTTGATCCTTGGTCAATCCAGGCACTGAGCGGCAGGTGGCACGACCATCCGGCAAACCATAGAGCCTGCAAAGATTAAATTAGCCAAGAATCTTAATGAAATGTGCCCCTAAGCGATGGGAATATTTTAAATAGCTTGCTCTTAGAATTTTAAATCCAATTAAAATTTGATTACAGCTACCGACCGCAGTTGGAAATAAATGCTCCGAAAAAACTGAACCCAACAATTCGAAAACCGTAATTAACCTTGAGTGGCTGGCACAAACCGCAGAAGAAACCCAAAATAACAGAAAAAAACAAGTCTAAACTAATTAAATTTCATTTTGTTTTCGTTTCTCTAGATGTGAAATTACATTTGCTTTTATTTCAGCTAAGATTTAATCGAGCCATGTATCCACAGCAAAGCGGTTTGAGACAGAAGCTAAATATAATTTTGGTTACCATGTTTGTTATATATCTTGTCAAGAAATTGTTGGGCGATGAATCATTTGGCTCTGCAGTAGCCGAAAAAATGTTGTAGACTAAGATCTTGAGATTCTTAACCCCACAGAACTACCATAACTATTTGAGAAAAAAAGTTGTTATTCTCTTAAAATTACAACTGAATACTTTCTTTGAATTGAAACTTTTAACATTGTTTATTTACATTTTATTCTACTGTGTTTAACAATTATATCCCATAATTTCCCATGTACGCTAAGAGGGTTAACCGATTCGCTCCCGACTGAACCCATTTAAGATCGGTCCGTGGCATTCAAGGTCAGCTAAGTTGAGTTAAGCTGAGCCGAGGTGTTCAGATCTTTAGCCAGAGATACAGATACGGGTTTTTTTTTGATTTTTTTCCCGGGGTAGTATGTGAGTGAGTGCCAGTTGACGTTGAACAACTTCATCTGACTTTAGCTATAGGTCTAAACTTCAGCTGACGATGGGGTAAAGTTGTTGCCACATCGCGACTTGCATCGCCATGGAATCGCGTTGAAATCGCGTTGATCTACGACACGCAGCGAGGAATACCGGGCGTATACGTGATGTGCGTCTGGCGTCTGCAGCTAAAAATCGTTGGTAAATATATATTTTCTTAATGCCCAGACTCACTATCTGCTGCTTCTTCTTCGCGGGGTTAATTGTGGCACGTCGCGTGTAGGAAAAAAAAGGAAAAACAAAAATGCCTCAAATGTATAAACGTGCCATTTTCACACACGTCTCTTTGTTGCAAAGAGCGAAGATTTAGAGATCCTCATATCGGCATTGCGCCTCATTTGTATGCCAATCGCGTTCCGTCGTAACTGCAGTCGTTGATTTAGCCAGCAGATCAGCAGATGGCCAGATCCGCACAGCAGGTTCAAATAATTTAGGAAATTTGTCGCTTTAAATGCTGAATTTGCATGTCGAATTACTGCAGGTCCCTCAATTTGGCTCAAGCTAACAGCTTTCAAGGGTAAGTTATATTTACTAACTTAGTAACTACCTTTCCTGCACTTAGAAACAGTCATGAACTTTAACTTCATCATTTTATCTTAATAGCAAACAAACAAAATTAGAATCTAATAAAGAAGCCATTTGACAACAGTTACTTCTTTCCCCCAGTCCCCGGTATCATTATTTTTTAATCGAAGCTACAAAACTGCGATTTAAACGAGTAAAAGAAATATCAAGCCGAAAAAAAGGGGATAAAAGAACCTGAACAACCTCTTGGGCAAAATGCATTTTAATTGGCTGACGTTTCTGCGATACGAATGCGAATATGCAATGCGGGCCAGACATCTCGCCAGATAAAGAATTTAAACTGATGCACATTTTGTTAACAGCTTTATAAAGCATATGGCTTTTAGTTACCATTGCCATTTGCCGACTTCAATAAAACTGATAAGCGAACGTAAAGAGGGAAAGAGCAGTGCACTGTGAGAAAAAAAGATTTTTTTTTAAACCCACAATTGAATAAAAAAATTTAGATTAGACTTAGATTTTAGATTTAGATAGAATAAAATGTATTTGTAGTTTGTTTACTCAAGAGATTTATACAATTTTTACTTTGTTTCTTTACTGCTAAATAAAAAATATTTCTTAAGTAAGAAGTATAAATCCTAACTTATAAAATGATTCATAAAAACCAAATCTTGCAAAAAAGTATATTTGTTTTTGACCTGGTTTTAAATTATTTTCTGTGCACTGCAAGAGCCTGAACCGCCGGTTTTTAGGCCTCTGAGTCATGTTTTTGAAGCCAGTTCAGTTCCCAGATTCCTCGTTTGCGTATTTCACGCGATGCGATAGCAATGCAATTGATTCGCTTATAAAATTTATCGATCGTTGTTCCCGCGAAGAGGAGCGAAGACGTTTGCTTATCAGGCCCGAAGAAGAGTGTTGGGGCCAAGATAAAAGCCGGCAACTGGCCAGCTCTAAATTTAATTTCGATTTTCATAACCGCTGCAGTCCTTTCTCACGCTCGATGATTCTGGAGTTCTATTGAAATGCCATAAAAAGATTGAGGCTTTAATAGGCGCCGCCACAGCCAGACTTTTTCCCTGTTTCATTTTTTTGTATTTTTATATGTATATCTTATATTTTTTGTCTGGTCTGTCAAACGGTAGCCCGTGCATAAATCAAGGATTTCTGCTGCCTTCGGCTTATGCCTTCAGCGAACTATATACACAATCTTTGTTATTCAGCTAGCCTAAGCCAGTTAGGCATAACAATGTTTCCCACACAGCGATAGATACAGACGGATAGCCGGAGATTGAAGCATTTCAGACGGGGCAGATAACTTTGGTGGAGACATTCCTGAACAGTTTGTTTCGACTGGGAGGGGGGATTGGATTCGGGCGACCACAGCAACAGCTAGGAATGTCTTTGATCCAATCCGGCCGTACAGGGTGATCCGGCATAAAAATATTTCATTTCCATACACATCGAGGAACATTTTTGGCAGTTAAATACAAAAAAGTATGTATCAGAAAAATATCTTTGAAAAATAATTTTGATATCAGTTTACTTTCAAAGTAACTCGAATTGCTCTTATGTTAACTTAAATAATGTTAAATTGTAAGTAAAAAATAAACCATAAAGTTTTTAATCCTAGTGTTTCGTTATTTATTTGTTGTGTTTAAACTTGATTAAAAAATAAATCCCATTTCTAAAAATACATTTCTAATTTCTTAGTAGATAGGAACTACTTTTTAAAGAGTCTTAATAGAAATGAATGAACAGTAAATGAAATGAAATGAAATCAATGTATACTTCTGTATTAAATTAAATTTAAAAAAATTGAAATCAAATATTAGATTAAAAATTTAAGAAGGAAAAGCCATCAAGGCATAGGTTGCATTGATTTTCACACAATGCTTGCTGGCGGAAGCGACTGGCAAATTGGCAGCTTGTGGTTCATAAATAAATTCACTTGAAGTTGGAGGTGTTGATGCGAAAAAAAAACACCTGAAGAACCCTTGAACGTGTGAAATCTGCTGCAGTGCTGGCTCACCTGTGCGCAGGTGTGTGGTGGGTGTGTGTTGTGTGTGCACCCAATTAAGCTGCAAAGTGCAGAACTGGCGACCCGGAGGCGTGGCACTTCGACAATTCATTTGCATTTCAAACGGGCGAAATTGTGGCGCACCATGGACGTGGATGTGTATGCCTCATTATGCGTTGCAATTATGACGTTGCAACTACAAGGATGACGAAGGCAGTGAAGAACGAGAGGAGCAGGAGCAGCAACAACACCAGCGAATTGCAGGCTGCACTTCAGTTGCAACATCGCTGCATTGCTGCACTGCTGCAGTCTCAACAAGCAGGGCAAAAAAGTATGTTGACAACCCCAAGGAAGAGGAAAGGTTGAAAGTTAACTTGGGACTCGAAGAATGCAACACCCTTACGCATCGGATCTTTAAAATCTATTATTATAATTAGAGTTAGTTAAAAGAAAAATTTTATTTTGATTTGTTTATGTAGTGATAATGGTTAAAGTCAAAAATTAAAATAAAAAATATTTATTAATCTATCTGTTATAAATTAATGTTTTAATTAATCTTTCTAACTATTTGAACAAAATCTGGGATGACCATTAACTAATATGGTAAATAAATAAAAAAATGGTAAATATTTTTTTAATATCCATTATTATATTTTGTGCTTTTAAAAAATTTTTTTTTTGGTCCTTAGTAATATTAATATTAAAGTTAAGTACCCCCAGAAAGTGTATGACAACAACGAGAGTAACGAGATTAACAAGCTGCAACTACTAGGCGAGGCAACCAGTCAGGCAAGGCGAAGTAATGCAACCAGCCTCCATCCCTGCTCCCCTGCTTCCTGATCCATGCACCCTGTTCCCAGCTCCGCCTCACTGCGCACATGGAAAATCGAGAGCCTGGCCAGAAGAATCAGATTGACAAGCGAACCAGGCGCATTATAAAACTTGAGTACCAGGGACCACCCTGCAATTGGAATCAGCTCAATTGTGTGTAGGCCCCCGTGGTTCAGCAACTGCGAACATTGGAGGGGATTCCAATCCCGATTCCCATCCAGGTACAGAGACTGCTATCCCAACTCCAATCAGCCACTGCCGATGAAGCGGCCACGGGAGCCGTTGGCAATTTTATTTGTGGCAACCGGCCGCCTTCTAAAATGGCGGTCGTTGTTTGGCCTGGTCTAACTTGTAAGTTGCCATTTTTGTTTGCATGGCCGCCAAATAGGTTTGTTGTCAAAGAATAATTTGACTAAATCAAATCATCGAAATGAAATAGTTTCGTTTTACATTTTTTACAGTTTAAGTGAATTTAGATAATTGTATTTAAATTATTTTATTCGACCGTATTTGAAGGGTTTTGTTTTTTTGCAACTTTAGAATTAATAATTAAATTTTTAAAAATTATTCTTTGTAAATTTACTTTAACAGCAATTATAAATTTAAATATGAAAAATATCACCATTAATGCTTTCTTGCTTACAGGAACTTATTTTACACTACAGTACTCATTTTACACTAATAAATTCAAATCAATAACTGCAGTTTTGTGTTTGAAACTTTTCTTAATTTAATGCGCGAGTGAGAAATCCCCAATTTCAAGAGAGAAATAAATGGAAATGTGGTATTCAAAAAGTTAGTTCTGAAAACCTCTTTACACCACCAAATCCTGAATTATACTCATATACTCATTTCGGTTGGCTCTCAATACCGTAAACCTTATTCACTCATTTCCATAAGACCTTCTCATTTAAATTAAACAATTAAAACCTTTCCATTTCCTTTACCCAAAAACCGTCCGTGAAGGTGAAAACAGCCTGCTTCCCACCGTGTAATTCCCACAACCGCAACAATCTCATGTTAATCGGGCACAATTAGGTTAGCTTAATTTCCCTAGCCTATCACTAGATCAATATTAATTATGCCAACACCTTCGGCCGACAGCTGTTTCTCCGGCTAACTCGGGCGATTGATTAATCTGTTGTCGCTGTTGTTGCTTGTCGTTTAATTAATTAACTCGCCAACAGGCCGCCACATAAAACACGGCGTAATGAGCCCGACTCGAAGTTAATTTGCTGACAGGCCTTTTGCAGTGCGGAGTTTTGCTTTACATACTCGCGAATGGTGACGGGCTATTTGGTCTTAGGATAGAATAGCCGCCGAATGGTTCGGCTGGTACTTACCAGCGTGTGCAGCAGGCCAAGATAATCACAACAATTAAATGCAAATTGCAATGGCGCGATGTTGCCGGTGTGGCAACCAGGTTGTTGCTGCTGCTTCCTGCTTCTTGTTGCTGCTGCTGTTGGTGTTGCTCGTGGCCTTTTGATGTTGCTCGCCACGCAGTCATCGCTCGGCTTTGATTTGCATAAATTTTCATACAATTGCGGCCAAATGTTTAATTGCACAGCATTTTCGTTAATCAATTTATCACTTGGCACTGCACTTTTGGTCGTTTGAAGGGGCCAAGCAGCACGAAACATTTTGTAGAGCTCATTTGAAATATTATACGAATTTTTCGTTTGACCTTTCACATGTTTAGGTAATTATGATTTATTTTCAGTTATAGTTGTTTTTACCAATTCACATTTTTTCGATGTATTGTGATTAATCTTGTGTTTCTGAAACATGAAATTAGGAAGAAATATAAATGCAATTTTGTAATATAAAACCATGTTTTTTATTTCCCTTAAATGTAAGGATATTAATAATGTACTAATAGGGCTTTATTATTTATATATATATATATTTTTTTTTAAGAGGTTCTCGCTGTTTCAAATTTAGCGCAAATAAATAAAAAAGTTTTTCTGTAGTTTAATAAGTGTTATAGATAGATATATGTTTTTAACGTAACTGTCTAGCTATATGCGTTTATACAATTTTATGAATCAGTGAATTATTGGAAGTTTTAAATTCGTTTTGTTAACAAATTCATTGTACTAATTGTCTTCGGCGACATGCATTTAATCCGTTTTTATCAAAACTGGAGAGCCACTTTTAAATCTTAAAATAAGTTTTTTATTATTTGTTATTATGCAATATGCATTTAATCAGATTGTATCAAAATTGAATAGCCACTTCTTGTCTTGCAATTTATTTTAAATTTATATTATATAGGTCTTGGAGATTCGTTTTCTCCAGCCTTCCACAATTTTCTCCAAATTAATTTAATTTTTCACTTAACCAGAGGCCAAAGACCGACCATTCGACGATCTGCTCCGGCTTTCAACTTTGAGCTTAACTCACTGGCTACTGGCTGGATAGCAAAAATCGTTTTCTTGCAATGTTTGTCGTTACATTCGTTATTTTTTATTTTTTCTCATTTACAATCGTTTTTTGTCTGGCACCAAGGGAGACTGGGCTTGTCCGATTGGTCTGTAATACAAGTTTCAGTTTATTGTAGTTTAGCATGGGGTCTTTCCTCGCTTTTTGCTCTTCGCTTCTGTTTCTGGGTGGTTTTCGTACTTTGACTTGATTCGTTTTGCGGTTTTAGGAATTAAATGGCTTTGTGTGTGGCAATCGGCTTCAGAATGGCGATCATAATTTTATTTTGATTGGTTTAAATAATATATTATTAAATAATTTTATATATAAGCCGAATTTACTTAAAAGTCAATAAGTAGTACTTTTAGAATTATAAAATTTTTTTTTATATGGCATATTAGGTACTTAAAATTTATAAGTTAGTTTCTTTTGGAATTAGAAAATAAATATTAAATGTGGTTAGCTGTAAATTATTTTTATTAAATTTTAAGTCTGTTTACTCTGATTTAAAATGTGCTATAACTGGTTAACTATATTATCCAGTAAATATGAATTGTTAAATCTTACATTAACGTGAATAGTTTTGTATGTTTTCTTATGATTTATAAATATTTATTTTTTAACACTTTTTTTATTAAGAACTTTAACTAATTTTTATTTGATATGGGATGATTTTATCTATCGCACGGAAGACGCAGGACACGAACGTCCTGCCAGCTAAGCGAGTCGCGCGACTATGAGACGAGAGCCGAGCTCGACAGCCTCTAAATGCAAATTAAAATTGAAATATTTGAAACGGAGGCTGGCTTCGTTGTTATCGCCATCAACATCGTCGGTTGTTCTCGGTGTCCTCGCATCGTCCTCGTCATCATCCTCGTTGTCCTGTTCCCGTGCGTGTTATCCTGGGAATTACGGATCTATTTGTGTGGTGTGGGACTTTCGTTGGGAGGTGGATGTGGAATGTGCGCGTGCCTTTCCGTTGGAGGGTGAATTCCCGATTCCTGGCTCAGCGACTGGCTGGCGAAAGTACAAAATACATCAAAGGATGCAAACACCAACAAACACACAGGACATGCTGGGATATTGAGGCAGGGCTGCTCATTCTGGTTGCATTTATCGCATGGGAGAAAAGCTCTTTGTTATCCTCGATTTGCGGTCCAATTAACACGTTGGGATAGGCATAAATTGATTAAACACTCAATCATATTATAATTTAAATGCTCTTAAAAATCATTTCAGTACTTTTCATTACTTTGTATAAATTGAAATATTTTAATAATTATCTTAAATATTGAAAATAATTCTTCTCTCTTAACAAACTTTTATTGCCTTTAATTGATTTAAGATTTAACCCCTGGCTCTCGGGTCTCTTGACACCTGACTGCCTGTCTGGCCTTTAAAGACTTATTAAGCAGCCTCCTTGTGCGTTTTTTTTGCTGTGGCAAGGACACACGACTGAGTGCCACTTCTGCTGAACATCAAAGGGGTTTACAACAAAAGTGAAACTGGTGCAGTGTCGCCATCCTCTCGCTATCCTTCTCACTCTCACGTCATTGTTGTCCTGTCGAGGACTCCAATTATTGCAATTTCGTTCTTTTGTTGCTGTTGTTGTTTGCCTTTGAAATATGCTAATTTATATACTCGAGGCGGTGAAAAACAAAGGCCGAGGCAATTGATTCACGTCTGCTTCCTTAGTTAGTTCAAGAGGTTAAGTGTGGTGAGGGTGGTGGTGGGGGGTTTTCCGGGGACACAAGGGAAGAAGCAGAAGCAGTGCAAAATATGGGTCGTTTAGGCGGCGGCTTTTCTTTTATTTTCATTTGGATCGTGTGTGTGTGTGGATGTGAACTTAACCCTCTTTGACTTTTCACTCGCTACTTGTTACACTTCAAAGGGATTTTCTGGGCGAGCTGAAGAAACACTTGTTGCCAGCTGTTTTTGAATGCAATATGTTCGGTCTATTTAAAGGAAAACGGAAAAAGGAGAATTCCAGTGGAATACAGTGGCTAAGCAATTAACGATTGATTAATAAGTAATCTTAAAAACGGGGGTCAATAATATCTCATGTTGCAATTCTCAAACCTGACGATCATAAATTGCCTGTCAAATTGAATAGAATAATTCCATTTGCGGAAAAGCGTCACTATCAAATAAGGTAATTATTGATTGAGATTACAAATATTTTATTACATTTAATGATATTATTTAAACTATTCATAATTTTTTAAATTTTTGTTTAGTTTTATACTTAAATGTTTTATTTAGACAATTTATTTTCATTAATAAAGAGCCTCTTATTTATGATTTGAACTGATGTTTTCAGTAAATCTTGGTGTCTCTTCAATGAAAATTCCTTTCCGTCTACTTGCGCACAATGTTAATGTTAAAGCTCATTAAAAATTATCCGTTAACAGCTCCGAGCATTGCATCTCTCATTCAGCTAACCCCATCCATTTTCCCATCCATTTTGCAGGCACTCTAACCGCAGAAAAAACCACAAAAACCAAAAACAAAAAGAAAAAGAAAAAATAAGGAGACAAACAACGGCAGCGGGCATTTGACCATCACATCTACCGCATACAATTGCCATGAATCACCATCACCTGGCGGTGGCTTCAACTGCCTTTGGCCCGGGCTCTGCCATTTCAGCCGGAGGAGAGGAACATCCATCAATGTGCCGTTGACATTTGCTTGGACCGCTGACAAGAATTGTCACAATAAACAATACAACCACGACGACAACAAGAACAATGTTGGCAATGAGGAGGACACGTGACGTGATCAGGAGCAGGAGTTCGGATTCAGAATCGGAATCGGAATCAGCCTGATGATTAGTTCGGTAAGTGGCAGCTTTTTTCGGCTGAGGGCGCATAAATTACCGAAAGGATTAACCAAACAACCAACCAGCCAGACTTAGACAGCTGAGGGACAGAATCAGAGGGGTAGAATCTTTGTTTTTCCCGGTGTTCAGTGAACTGTATGGTTAGGGTTAACGCTCAGACGCCGAAGGGTTAGGGTAAGCATCATGTTAAAATTACAATCAGATCAATTTCACAGATATTAACATGAGTATTTGGGCCAGGGCAAGTGTTGATGGGATACCCCGGTCAGCGAGGGGTGGCTTTCTTATTGAATTTTCAAAAGGGGAAATATTTCTAATGAGTACACGCAAATTAGGGAGTGCAAATCGTAGCTGAGTGAACGGAGTAAAAATGTTAAGCAAAGAGTTTTTCTATGGCCAAAAAAAGACAAAGAATATTTAAATTATAAGAATATATACCTAATATTTTATTTCTACGTCATAGATTGGGATCGTTGATTATAGTTTATTTAATTAAAAGTTATTAAATTTATTATTTTTAAAACCACAGGACTATTTAGATAATTTTGAGCCCACCTTCTGATGCCCTAATAAGGCCAATCCCCCCAAAAAACATCATCGAGATTTCCCATTGATTGGATAGCTTGGCTGCAGGTAGGTGTGCCCTCGCCAAAGTTCAAAACAATTTGCGCTCATTAAAAAGGAAAAATCCATGAAAAATTCATCATAATGACGTAGCCCAGGGTTACCGAAAAACGAGCCACCATAATTTAGTTAATTTTTGGTTTGTTTTTTTTTTTGGTTTTGGCTGCCGCCATTGCGGTCGATGTTTTTTTTAATTAACTCGAAACGATGGCGCGTTCATAAATCCTGACAAAAATCTGACAAAATGACGCAAATTTTCGCGTCGAAGAAATATCTCTTCGCCGGAGTAAGAAATAAAAATAAAAATTAAGCGAAAATTAATCGAAGTAATTTCGAGAGCAGCTTCTGCGGCTTCGGCCTGCAACCCCTGCCGGCCGCAAAATCGGGCGACATTGCGAACATAACTGCGGAATTCTTGGGGCCAAAGTGGCACAAGGTAAAAAGGGCTTGGGGACGGGGAGTTGGGGCTTCGGGTCTGGTCTCTCGTATGGGAAAAATTCCGCTGGCCTCCAATCAGTGCACACACAGTTTGCATTGCCCTGACATGAAAAAGAAATCAGTGCAGGGCTCGCTCTCCTTACCTCCGTTCCCTTCCTCCGGATCCCTTTTTTATTTTTTATTCACAATTTTCGGTTGCAGATGTGTGGGAAAATTTTTCAATTTTAATTGCACGTTGCGCGTTGTCGTCCCAAAATTTAAACAGTCGATATTCGAGGGCCCACCTACAAATCTCGCCCGGTCGTAAGGTTTAAGAGATCACGGGGGTTGGCTTGGGTTTGGCCTCAGAGGGGGGGGACTCACAAAGTTCGTATAGCTCGCGTCTGCATACCAGGAGCGCCTTTCTATGAAAATTCCTGGCAGCATCTCGTCGCAGCCGCGACTGGCA